TCCACATTACGATATGGCTCGAATACTGATTCCCAAAATGGCTGTATTTTTGGGCAGCTCCACCAAATGTGCAAGTACGTTCCCTCCTCAATACTGCATCTCCAGCATCTGTCCGACTTTCCTGGGATTATATGGTTAATTCTTTCTGGACATCTATACCATCTGGACATAATTTTAAAGTTTTTTTTCTTGATAGATTGAGGAGGTGACAGAGTAGTGTACCATTGTAAATATTCTTCCCCACTCCTCCCTTGATATATCTCTCCTCAGATCCTGTTCCCATCTCTTCATATATTTCGTATGTTCTTTGGCAACCTCCTCCCCCAACAGACCATAAACTACTGATATGACATGTGTAGTGGGCATATCTCGTACACATAATTTCTCAAACGGTGTAAAAGGTCTGTTCATGGAGTTACCTCCCCCAAGATGTCGCACATAATCTGAAACCTGTACTGCCTCCATCCACAATTTCCCCCTATTGTTTGCCTCTCTGGTATCAGTTCTTTTTTAATTTCTTCCTTTCCCTTCTCTAAAACCTGCCACATCTGTATAGGGGAGGTACTCACGATATTTATGAGGGTTCCCACCTGCATACCGGGTGTAAAATGTGGGTTTCCTATTATGGGAGTCAGTGGACCCGGTCTAGAAGATAAATTATATTTAACTATGATTCTATCCCATACTCGTAATGCTGATCTTACAAGAAATGGCAGATTAGAAATATGTAGTCTGTACTCTTTTGGCATCTTCTAATTTTACTATCTCTTTGTTTTGGCTATTATGCATCCAGTCAAGTATTCTTGATAATATTACAGCTTTATGGTATAACGCAAAGTCCGGCATGCCCAATCCTCCTCTTTATTTAGATCTCATTAACACTTTACCACTGATCCGTGGTGTTTTATTAGCCCATTACCAAACACACGAACCGCCTATGTTCGAGTCGAACTGTTGCTCGACTCAAACATCGAGCCCATCCCTACTAATATCATGCGACAAGAAATTGCAACTCTGGATACAGTCTGTGTACCCATCGCACTCAGAGCCGCTGCCCCAAAAATGGAGTCTGGGTGCAGCAGGTGTCAGCGGATGGCTTCTGACAAAATATTAGTAAAAGGATGGACACTGGCACTCCAAAGCCAGTTCAGTACGTGTTTATTAACGTACTAGTTGCAAGTAGAACACTCTAAACAATGTTTCGGGGTCTCACAGGATCCCCTTCATCAGGCAAACAAGTGATGCAATACAATTTTGGGGCGTTTTAATGTGACACTAAACTCAGCAGTTAAACTTTAAAAATTCTTTAAAGTACCTTAATTATTAACAAAAATGTACCTTATTTGTGTAACACTCAGCTGCAGAGGTTCAAATCATCTCTGAATTTGTGCGGACACTGTCCTTTTTTCTGTAGGGTGGCTACTTTTGTTCCCCATGGTCCCTGTGTGTGTTGTAAAGTAGCCACCACTCCAAGCTCACTCTTGTGATGGACTACAATAGTGAGATTGTAGTCCATCACAGAAGTGAGCTTGGAGCGGTGGCTACATTACAACACACACAGGGACCATGGGGAACAAAAGTAGCCACCCTCCACTAGGACGGACAGTGTCAGCACCAATTCAGAGATGATTTGAGGATCTACAGCTGAGTGATGCACTAATAAGATAGTTAGGTACTTGAATGCAATTTTAAGATTTTACTCCTGAGTTTAGTGCCACTTTAAGTAATATTGAGGCACAAAATGTGCATTTTAACATGTGTAGAAAAAAAACAAAAAAGGGCTATTGAATATGGTGGAAATTCGAACTGTCAATCACAAAAATAACAAACAAAACAGCATTTGTTTACCAACAAAAACAGCAGCAATTTAAAAGAACAGTATATGTAGTTCAGTAACTTTTTTAAATAATAAAAGTTTAGATGATATGTTCCTCAGTGTTTAGCTTAAGGTACACTTAAACTACATATTTAATATTCCCATTGACCAATCAGATTCCTTTTTTATACTCCCAGCCCCAGGTAATAAAGATGAAACCTGGTTGGTGACGGTGAAAGTTCTCTGGTTTTCAGGAATATTGATGTAATATTACCCACACGGCACTAGATGTCGCTGCATTTCAACTCGAATAAAGACGCATGCGCCGCAATTCCCAGTGAATCGAGTGCCTATCGGGTAGTCAAGAGTTCCACATTACGATATGGCTCGAATACTGATTCCCAAAATGGCTGTATTTTTGGGCAGCTCCACCAAATGTGCAAGTACGTTCCCTCCTCAATACTGCATCTCCAGCATCTGTCCGACTTTCCTGGGATTATATGGTTAATTCTTTCTGGACATCTATACCATCTGGACATAATTTTAAAGTTTTTTTTCTTGATAGATTGAGGAGGTGACAGAGTAGTGTACCATTGTAAATATTCTTCCCCACTCCTCCCTTGATATATCTCTCCTCAGATCCTGTTCCCATCTCTTCATATATTTCGTATGTTCTTTGGCAACCTCCTCCCCCAACAGACCATAAACTACTGATATGACATGTGTAGTGGGCATATCTCGTACACATAATTTCTCAAACGGTGTAAAAGGTCTGTTCATGGAGTTACCTCCCCTAAGATGTCGCACATAATCTGAAACCTGTACTGCCTCCATCCACAATTTCCCCCTATTGTTTGCCTCTCTGGTATCAGTTCTTTTTTAATTTCTTCCTTTCCCTTCTCTAAAACCTGCCACATCTGTATAGGGGAGGTACTCACGATATTTATGAGGGTTCCCACCTGCATACCGGGTGTAAAATGTGGGTTTCCTATTATGGGAGTCAGTGGACCCGGTCTAGAAGATAAATTATATTTAACTATGATTCTATCCCATACTCGTAATGCTGATCTTACAAGAAATGGCAGATTAGAAATATGTAGTCTGTACTCTTTTGGCATCTTCTAATTTTACTATCTCTTTGTTTTGGCTATTATGCATCCAGTCAAGTATTCTTGATAATATTACAGCTTTATGGTATAACGCAAAGTCCGGCATGCCCAATCCTCCTCTTTATTTAGATCTCATTAACACTTTACCACTGATCCGTGGTGTTTTATTAGCCCATTACCAAACACACGAACCGCCTATGTTCGAGTCGAACTGTTGCTCGACTCAAACATCGAGCCCATCCCTACTAATATCATGCGACAAGAAATTGCAACTCTGGATACAGTCTGTGTACCCATCGCACTCAGAGCCGCTGCCCCAAAAATGGAGTCTGGGTGCAGCAGGTGTCAGCGGATGGCTTCTGACAAAATATTAGTAAAAGGATGGACACTGGCACTCCAAAGCCAGTTCAGTACGTGTTTATTAACGTACTAGTTGCAAGTAGAACACTCTAAACAATGTTTCGGGGTCTCACAGGATCCCCTTCATCAGGCAAACAAGTGATGCAATACAATTTTGGGGCGTTTTAATGTGACACTAAACTCAGCAGTTAAACTTTAAAAATTCTTTAAAGTACCTTAATTATTAACAAAAATGTACCTTATTTGTGTAACACTCAGCTGCAGAGGTTCAAATCATCTCTGAATTTGTGCGGACACTGTCCTTTTTTCTGTAGGGTGGCTACTTTTGTTCCCCATGGTCCCTGTGTGTGTTGTAAAGTAGCCACCACTCCAAGCTCACTCTTGTGATGGACTACAATAGTGAGATTGTAGTCCATCACAGAAGTGAGCTTGGAGCGGTGGCTACATTACAACACACACAGGGACCATGGGGAACAAAAGTAGCCACCCTCCACTAGGACGGACAGTGTCAGCACCAATTCAGAGATGATTTGAGGATCTACAGCTGAGTGATGCACTAATAAGATAGTTAGGTACTTGAATGCAATTTTAAGATTTTACTCCTGAGTTTAGTGCCACTTTAAGTAATATTGAGGCACAAAATGTGCATTTTAACATGTGTAGAAAAAAAACAAAAAAGGGCTATTGAATATGGTGGAAATTCGAACTGTCAATCACAAAAATAACAAACAAAACAGCATTTGTTTACCAACAAAAACAGCAGCAATTTAAAAGAACAGTATATGTAGTTCAGTAACTTTTTTAAATAATAAAAGTTTAGATGATATGTTCCTCAGTGTTTAGCTTAAGGTACACTTAAACTACATATTTAATATTCCCATTGACCAATCAGATTCCTTTTTTATACTCCCAGCCCCAGGTAATAAAGATGAAACCTGGTTGGTGACGGTGAAAGTTCTCTGGTTTTCAGGAATATTGATGTAATATTACCCACACGGCACTAGATGTCGCTGCATTTCAACTCGAATAAAGACGCATGCGCCGCAATTCCCAGTGAATCGAGTGCCTATCGGGTAGTCAAGAGTAGATGATAGTTGATATCGTGGATCAGGATGCGGACTGGCTGCGGAATGGCTCTGTCCAGGGGACTGAGGTGCTGCCAGCGAGTGCTAGCCTGGGTGCCCGTTGTCATCATATCCCTGATTGTACTTTGGTCGTATTACGCCTATGTGTGTGAGCTTTGCCTAGGTAAGCAGAAAATGTCTTCACAAATGTATTTCTATGCGATATATAATAATGTACACTCCCTGCAGCCGGTATAGGAGGAAGTGACATTTCCGCCTCATTCAGGTGTTGTGATTTCAGACATTGTATCTAAGCCGAGATCGGAGGAGCTCATATATCATCGAGGACAGGAGAGAAGCCTTTCTTCTGTCTACGTAATAGTTTGTATTTTATTCTGCAAGGAGATTTCATTTGGACTGCTCAGTATGGATCAGTACTACAAACAGAATCAGAATATTGTTCATCACAGCAACATATTGACAATCGCAGGACACTATTGACAATCGCAGGACGCTATTGACAATCGCAGGACGCTATTGACAATCGCAGGACGCTATTGACAATCGCAGCACGCTATTGACAATCGCAGCACGCTATTGACAATCGCAGCACGCTATTGACAATCGCAG